TCCATATAAAAGACAGGTTGCAGCTTCCAGGTGTAAAAAAAGAAGCCAAGTAGCAAATCCCTCTAATGACCAGCAGGAGGTGCCATTATGGTTTGGAAATTATGTGTGATTGTTCGTTACTATTAAGGTTCAGAAAGACAATAAAGGCCACCTTAAAGAAATGAAAACTTTGTGATTGATGAGTTTCTATTGAATGGGTGATTAATGTCAGTCAAATCCACCTCTCACTCATAAAGACCAGTTTTACACCAAGATACAAATCTCTCTAAGGCCTCATGACAAGACCTCACTATCCAGTGGGTGACAGCATAGTGACTATGACAATCTAAACAGAGTCTATTTTGTGAGCATAGCATGTCCACCCACCTGCAGCCAATCAGAAGAAAGCTGGCTTAAAGCGAGGAAGGCCATAAAAAAGAGTAAATATAACTATATGGTAAAGGATAATTTTGAACTGAGATTCTCACAAAGCTAATCTAGTAAAGTTGAAGAATAAATTTACACAGCTGTGAATGGGTATAATTTGTCCCTTTAGCCACAGTGTGAATGGTAGATATCTGTTATGAGAAAAGCTGGTGTAAGGTGAGCTGCAAAATGGCCTTACTCATGTAGGTGAGGCTGATGGGTGGTGAGGCTGGCAACCCGGGTCCTCTGGACAACTTATTTTCCTCAAATCCATTAGGTAAGCCACTCAGGTAGTCTTTGCGCTGCCTGCTCAGACCCAGCCACAGATAAATCTCTATCTTGGATTGCACTGTCCACCCAGCTGGTCCAAAGCCCTTTTTACCAGGAATCTTTACAAGAGGAAAATACAAAACACTTTAGCTGCTGAAGAACACAGAATACAGATAAGGAAAAGTTTCATTATAGACTGGGAGTTTGTATCAGAATAGATTAGGTACTCGCCCTGAGAAAGATTGTTTTGACTTTCCCACAGTCTTTTCCCTTCTCCTCGTATATGCTGGAATAAAGGATGTCCTTAGAGGGGACACGTGCATAAGCAATACGCTTTCCATTGCTTATCATCCATATGAAAACATCTGGAACGCTGTGTTGAGGCTGCAATAAGAATGAGTCCTCATTTAAATATGTTACTGAATAACCACTATAGAACATACAAATGCACCAAAAAAGATTATTTGTAAATAAAGACATAGACATAAATCTCACTTCCTCAGCCAGAAAGCGCAGCTTCGACAGGAAGTTCTGAGCCAGCTTCAGCTTATCTCTCACTGTGCTTTTTTTCACCTGTGACCTCATGGTCTTAGCTTGCTGACCAATGGCCTCCTAAAAGGAGGAAGAGGTTCAGCAGTTAGCACAGTACAAATATAATCAATAGGTGGGAACAATAAAGATTACTCTTTTGAGTTTACGTACCACTTCCGACAAGCACAGCTTCAGTCTCTCCTTGTCAAGTTTGGTTCTGCCCGACTGACTCTGGTCCTTGTTTGCCAATGAAAGAAACTGACTGAAAGAGTTAAGGTTTGGTGAGTGCAAATGTTTACAATCATTAAAAACATTTCATGTGCAGCTTAGGTTTGTAACCACAGACCTGCATCCTTGGCTGAGTTCCTCAAGAACACCTCTAAGCCTGCGCTCGGGATAGGCCTTCTCTGTTTTAATGATCTCTTGCACATCATTTAGTCCATCCTCCTATGAAAGCAACATAACGATAATGATTTAAATTATGTTGGCGTTGACTTAGACAAACTTAGCTTTAAGTTAATGCATGACTTGCCAGTTTATCAGCAATATTGTCAATAATGTTGGCATTATACAGCCTCCTTCTCTGGTCTTGCCACCAGCTCTTGATGTAAATGCACGGCTTCCTCTCAAAATATGGCAGATGGAAATAATTTCTGTGGATTAAAATTAGAGCGTATCTAACATGTTGTTTTTTTAAAATACCTAAATCAATACTTCTAAACTGTTTTTACAATCTTTTAAATCAAAGCAAGAACTAAAAACTTTTGTATTGTATGTGATATTATTGCTCTGACCGGTCTGTGATGACAGGTTTCATGGGTGGGGTTGTTGCCACTGACTGCAGGTCTCCATCGTCGTCCATCTCCTCTTCACTGGAATTGTTGATCAGTTCAGTTTCCTCTTCGTCTCCATCACCCTTCTTCCCCTTTGTTTTTGGTTTGACAACTCCATCGTTCTCATTTCCATAATAACCTGGCAACAACCATGATGTTAACAGTTAAACCATAAAAGATGCAGTACTTACTACATATCCAGCAATTATAGTATATATGTGATTCTATATTTTTTAAAAACTACAGCAACACAGCTATTATTCTAATATAGTAATGGATAAAACAGTGTAAGGATATTTAATAAAGGTCATTAGGCATGCTAATTTCTCAAAAGAAAGTCTGCTAAACACTAAAACTGACAACGAGGTGATGGAAAGTACCTATGGTGACCTCAAAGTGTATGGGCTTATCACCAATCTTTCTATCAACCATTGTGGCCTCCAGGAAGGAACTGAAGAGGAAAAATTCCTCAACCTTTCCAGTGGCGATCTGTGAAAACAAAAAATGGAAAAGTATAATCATCTGTAAATGAATAAAGACTTATATAAAGGTGGCATCAATGTAAAACAAAAAAAAGGTTAAAGCACTTTTCATTACATATTGACAACAATCAATTTATCCCATATTATGAGGGATACCACTGTGTTTAGCCACATTGATGCAAACAGCTATTAATAATACACCAGGTACTATTAATAATTCACAGTAATTGCAGGCACATAACCCATCAGTAGGAGAAACAGTTGGCTCCATCTGCATGACTGCCCATCCAGTCAGGCATTCACCTCTGAGATGTTGGGTATTCCCTCCATCTGCACGTCTGTGGAGCTGGTAATTTCAGGGGAGGAGGTGTCCAGGAGCTCCATGCCAAGGCTGATGAGCAGACGGGCTCTGAAGGACACGCCCTCTCCAAGTCCATCATTTAACTCCTGGTATTCGTCCATCAGGGTGTAGGTACGAGTGGAGCCATACATGTTCACCCAAGCAGGCCCAAGAGTCGGAAGGAAGCCTGAAAAACAAAGAGAAAAGGGGATTTTAATCTAATAATTTGCAAGAGCAAAACTAACTGACATGTCAAAAGAAAATCTTCTGCAGTTAATTTGTGGAGAAGATATTTCTTCAAACATTTAAAGTTGCATCACCTTTGTCCCCATCGTTAGAAATCTTGCGCAGGTCTAAGAAGTGCGTTCCTATCGCAACATCATTCACTTTATCCGAATCTCGGAGCTGGATCTTTATACGTTTGCAGAGTGGTGGAAACATCTCAGTGAAAACAATTTGCTCGTTCCAGATAGGCTCATAGCAGCTCTTCTGAACTGATGTTTTCCCCTGTAGCAATCACACATTGTAAACTTATGTTATGTCAGTGAGATTTAGATTTTGAGCTGGATGAGAAAAAAAATGCTACATAGGGGAACGAACGCATGGCAGCTTTGTTAGCACTCACCTTCTGCCCAGCAAACTGTACTTGGACATAAGGATCAACCAGGTCCTTATTTTCTCCTATGAAGGCCTTTTTCACATTCGCCATGATGCTGGTGTTCATTCTGGGGAGCCCCTCAGCTCTGTAGATCTTCAAGTAATAACGAGCCCACTGCCTCTCTGCAGGCACCCCCTCAGGTAATAAGAGATTCCTGAAATAGAGAGATAATATATTTTCTTCACTAGTTTCAAATGTTAAAAAAAAGAATACATCTGTGTTTTATTTACCCATCTATGTCATCTTCTTCAGATTCATTTGCCTTGTGTGGAGTTTTTATAGTGTCCCCTTTAGCCACAACTGCAATATCACATTTAACGTAGCCCTTACAGCCAGCTGTGATGTCATCAGGGTCAGACAAGAGAGCCCATTTGTGGTAAAACTGATGATCTACAAGTCAAGGAAGACATATTTATTAATGCATTTGTATCATTAATGTAGTGATATTTTTAAAAAGCTGATCTCGATTAATTCTTTACCAGGCTGGGAGTAGATTGTGCCTACATCCATTTTAAAACTTCCAACCAGGGTCCCACTACGCAGAAGATTTTTGGAGTGCACTACCTATAGTTTGGTTTAGGGAAGTAAACAACACAGGGTTTAGTGCGCTTGTGAAAAGGAACTGCTATCAGTGACTTTTACATTTAACTATAAGGAACGGGACGACTCACAGACACTTTCAGGATTTTGTCAAACATAACATCTGGAGGGACGTGGAAGTCGAACACAAAATACTGGAGATTAAAAGAGTTTTAATGACAATGATGCACAGTTGCCCTTTTAATAAACTTTAATAAAGTATTATACATGATGTAATGACAGACTCACTTCGTTGTAATATGGGCAGTTGGTTGATTCCTTCATTGAGGTGTACTTTTTATCTTCTCCGATCTCCACGCAAACCATTGGATCCATGTTCAAGCCCACCAGCTGTCTGGCTTCAATCACTGTCACACTGACCTGGAATTAAATAATCAAATGTTTTGCTATTGTTTAAGAAGCACTACATTAAATATAAAAACATAAATACACTCAATAACAACTTTCCCTTGCCTGATAGTCTACCGGTCTTCCAGAGCTGGGCTCCATCTTGATGTCTGGCTTTGACCTGCATCGCAATGTGAACGTGGTTAATGTAGAGTGAGACAGACGCAAATAAATGACCTTCATTGTCATTATACAATGTATAATTAAAATAAAAATAATAAATAATTAGAATTAATACAAATAGGTAAGTAACTAAAGATAAAAAATAAACACAGCGGCATTGTGCACAACTTAGCTAGCGTAAAGTGTTTATAGTCAAGTGTGTAGTGAGGTGGAAACTTCAGTAGTGGAAGCAAATGCTAGGATTAACTGTTCCTCAGTCCACTCGTTCTCATTTTTATTGTTCTGAATGGTTTTGCAGGATGGCAGCAGTTTGAACAGAGATCCAGGGTGTGTATCTCTGTTGCTGTTCATGCACTACAGAACTCTTGCCTCTTATTAGACACGTTGGTGGTGACAGCTGTGACTGAGGCCAGTGAGATGGTGTCAGGGTCCACGCCTCCTCCCATGAACATGCCCTGGCGATCCAGGTCCTCTGTCTCCAAAATTGCTGGCTCATCTGTAGATCAAATAAAAGACACAGAGTGAGGAAAACGAGTTATTTTAGTAGCAGCGTTAATTCCAAGAATGTCATTACAAGAGAAGACCCCAAAATACCTTCAGCCTCTCCCAGTAGAGACAAAAGAGAATACAGCAGGTAGCCTGACTGCTGTGACAGTGGCAGTCCAGTATTTACTTCAGGAAATAAAGCCAAAATACTACCCTTCCCAGATTGATACCAATGCCTTACACCATTAATAGTAGCGACATTATACTAGTTGTTTTCACCAAGAGGACACAGAGAGATGAAACCATAGAACATAATTTGAAACCCATCCTGCTGACCTTTTGATATGATACATCTACCAATTAGAAGCAACAGTGCAGGATTAATTATCTAATATCCAAATAGCTATTAGGCTATTGAAATGTTAACAAGATTGGCATATAAAAGCTGATATTTTGTATTTTATATTCAGGATACTAATACATTTTGAGTGGTTGCTGGGTTTTGAGTTATTTTGACCTAATCATCCATGATGGCCAATACCTCCATTTCTGTCCTCCTTTTGTCCACGGTTCTTACTGCGCTTCATGGTTCACGACAATCATCGAGTGCTCTGTGAAAAAAATAAAACAATAAAAATTTCATAACAATTTTGTACTTTTCTTTTTATCAATATGAGTGAACTAATGGTCTGTGCGTTTTTTGTTTTTTGTATATTTTCTGTGCATGTTCTGTTGCCAGAAACAGCAACCAAACCCATTCTTCAGTAACACACCTGCAAAACCACAGCAGAATAAACCATGGCACTTTACTATTGGCCTGTGCTGCAGATAGAGGCTAAATTATTAGGACTGTTTAAATTAAATGCTAAAACAAACAGCAAACAAAAAGCAAGTGTAAGGACAGAACACAGCACAGAAGGTGTGTAAGAAGAAGGGTGTCACCATACTACCACACCCCGGATTACCCTTAAAAAGGGCCTTTTCAATTATTTAGATTGGCTGACCTTAATACATGAATTGGAGGGGATACATTTCACATGCATTGTGAAAAATAATACACTTAAAATAATTAATTTTGGAAGTGGCACACTGTGGGGCAGGTGCCAGGATAAAAGAAAACGTAAGGACATGATTAACAGCTTGGACAATGGAAAATTCAATTTTTCCCTCATTTATCTGAGATTTAAAAAAATATACGGAAAATTGGATTTCTGTGGTGTCAATTAACTAGCATGTGTCACCTTTTCTAGCTGTTTTGAATTTTGCTTTTTTATATTTTCAGTTTTCACTAATATCCAAAAACAAAGCAATATATTACAACACTTTCTGTTGAATGTATAAAGCAAGCATCAATGCTTCAAACTGCTCAAACCAATACCAACTTAAGCACTCTTATGAGATGCACACTTAGAAAATTTAGAATAACTAAAAGAATGAATATTTTTGCAGCTCTGAAACATAACTTTTTTTTAACTCAACTGAATCTAATCTACCAAGCCACGAAAGGGTTCCTCATCAAAGAAACAGTCTTTCAAGTATATTGCAAAAACACTGAGGCCTAATTGCCAAAGTTATTTGCACAGTACAGCTGATCTTTCACTTAACTTGGTGTTGCTAAGGACTTCAAATAATCTGATCATACATACCATACAGAAGGAATGATTCCCCTGTGTCCTTCCTCTAAGCAGGCTGTTATTTTTTCCTCTTTTTTTCCCTCTGGAAATGGCAAAAACACTACGTAAACATTTTAGACATTTGCGCAGCACAAAGAATAAGGCTACAAAGTAAAGTTGCGCAGAAAAGAATTTGGTTTGTCTAAGTCTAAAGTTGGGCAGGAGTGATGTGATACACCAATGAATAGTGCATGAGTGTTGAACCCGAGACTGGTAACTATAACTAGGGACCGCTGAGAGACGTCACTGTCTGCCAATCCACACAGGCTCTGTCTGCTACAAAGGATATATGTATTAAGCTTCTTTTTTTAAATATATATATAAATATATCTAAAATATTTCAAATGAACGAGATAGTTCATGATCATTCTATTGTAGTGAATCTTCCTAACATAGCCTGCAAAGCTTCAATACCACTACTGGAAAGTATGTTTTAAGTACAATTTAGAAAGTATGTTGCACTAAATAATAATCAAGTTTGCTACAATGTGAAGATAAAGACAATTCTAAGATTTTCATAGTGTTACCATAAGTTAGGGTTGTATAAAAAAATCTACTGGAAGTGCTTTAAACTGTGTGAACTTTGGGTAATCAGTATATTGCTGTGTAACGAGTGATAGGATTTCATGGAAGTAACCAAAATGTCAGCCCATCCTAGCCGAAAGAATGCTGCCTTTTAATCATTAATAAGGTGCTGCGCACAATTTGGTCCTGGGGCACACATGCATTTTCTTTTATCATCATCGTGCAATTGCCAAATGATGTCAAACCATATTTGCAATGCCTTGCGTTTCAAATCCATTTAAGTTTGAGCAATTTCAAAGATGACCTGAATTTTGAGTCACTGTTGTTATTTCATTAGGGCTATTTACTTGAAAGATTAAGGAACCAGCATGTGTTTTTAACAGGGGGAGTAGAAGTATTTGCCAAAAGCCTTGATTGTGTTGCATTATTTTGCCGACCTGAGATATGCTTTAGCAACTTCTATTCAATGCAACTTCTCTTGCATGCTGAAGTACAACTCATCATCTCATCAATTACACATACAGCCAGTCTGTAAGCTATACGTCAAAGTCTAAAGTTCCTAGTATCCGATGAAACAAGTCCCTAAATTATTTAGATGGCCCAGTCAGTGTTGCATGTGGCAACCTCATTAAGAGGCAGTATCACTGTTCACAATAAAAGAAATAGATTTGCTTGCAGGAAATAACACAAACACAGTATCTTTGTTATCATGTAGGGAAAAATGCCTATGGATAACACTCTTAATTAAATGATGCAAAGACTATTTTAAGTGATGCATGTATGAAACTATTTTGGGGAAATGCATTTCAAACAAAACACTTTTTAACTTTGTGCAGTAGCTTCCTTGTTTTTACCTAGATCCGTAACAGATATATTCTTTTCCCACCTGCGCAGTGGGAAGTGTCAGCTCAGTGACACCAGCCTGTGGTGTCACTGGTGTCTGTTGAGGGATTCTGCTGTTAATTACATGATTCAATACCAGCTAAGAGGGGTTGAGGAGATGTCCTAGTTCCTCCAGGAGAGCTAACCGTGTCACCAATAGTGCAAAGTTACTGGTTGCCCCTGCTGTCTCATATACTAACCTCATTCTCTGATAGATGTTGTCATCAAATTCAACTTTAAGCACAGAAGATGACTCTAGGGACCAAACCAGTCTGCCATCGCTGGTGTTTCTGTTTTGACAAAGAACAAAAATTAACATGAATTAATAATTTCCCATAGTTTTTGTTTTGTTCTAGTGTCTCTGTGCTCTTCTTTTTTTCTCTACTCTTTCCTCTTACCTTCTAGCTTGTTAGAGCAGAGGGCTAATCCAGGTGCTGCTGGGTGTCTCTTCCTGTTATAAGGGAGTTCTTCCTTCCCACTGTCACAATTGCTTTCTCATAGGGGATCATCTGATTGTTGGGCATTTCTCGCTAATTTTGTAGGGTTTTGACCTTGCAATATTAAGCGCCTTGAATAAAATCAGATTGAAGTGGACTTCTTTATACAACATAAGAGTTTCAAAACACAATAACTGTGCAATAAAAGAAAGCATTATCTATATTATGGATGAATATTTAGGTAACACTTATGAATATGCATGAGAAAGTGACACCTTTGACAATGTCGTCTAGGATGAGTCACAGATGAGTCACAGAATGAATTGATACCAATCATGCAACCTTATCCCATGTAGGTCCAGTGTCCAAAGACCTCTTTTGGCTGTTGGTTGTAGATTGGTTATCAACATCTTATTCATGCTCCACTGACTCTGTGGGGACACCAGCTGACTGTGGTGTACTATATCATTGGGGCACATTTCAGACTGTTTGGATGACGACTCTGGCAAGCTTGACCAGTGAAACACAGCCACAGGGCATTGTTGGTGGTGGTGTTGAGTTGGCATTGTGCTAACTAGTCAGCAAGTAGGGCCTGGGTGTATTTGACCCTATATGACCTCAGAAACTAAAGAAATACTCAGAATCTGAGTGATTATTTTTAATGTCTGTGGATAGAAATGTGTACTATATATAATAAAACACCCTATTATCATATAATGGGCAAACAAAAATCATGTGAGAGCGTTTGTGTTGTCAAATTGTGTGAGCACATCATGGACAGTGCTTGGAGAGTCTATACATTTTTGCATCTTACCATGTTTCTCTCTTTAATCCCCAAGAAAGGAATGGAAACACCACCTGGTGGCCGAAGAACTGTCACTGCAGTTGGCTGTACTGTGTTTGGCTCACTACACAGCTGAAAAAAAGAGGACCATACCTGGAAGGGAACTAAAGACAAGGAACAAATATCCTTTCACTACTCTTAACAGTCAGCTGATACCCAAAATACTGCTCACAGTGCAGAGGAGACCGAATTTAGAAGGACTGTTAAACATACCTGACTTTTTTTTTTTTTAAAAGCCTTTGGAGTGAGAGTCAAAAGGCAAGGTTTTCTGATCCAAATCAAGATATGTTATACAAGATAACATATAATTTGGACTCATTTGTGTCTCTATAGTGAGCACAAAAGAAAGTTTATATGTTTAAGCTGCCAGACGGGGACACATTCACCATAAAGTATGTAGGGCTTGAAAAGAAAAATACATTTTGAGAAGCTGTAAAGTTGTTTTCATTGCAGCTGTTAGTAGCAGTCGTTCCTTCTAGCTAAAAGAGTGGAGTTGCATGTAATTATGCACATAACACAACATTGCCAGCCTTGTTAGTGTTATTAGTAATTATTTCCTACAGATATGGATTAGTTTACCCTAGTGAAAAACAGTTTCATTGTCTAGTTATTATTATTATCAATATCAATATCATTATTATTATTATTATTATTATTATTATTATTATTATTATTATTAGTAGTAGTAGTAGTAGTAGTAGTAGTAGTAGTAGTAGTAGTAGTATTAACAGTTCAACTCAAACTGCACCAGCACAGTTCTTTTCTGGTTCCTGATTGGGTCATTCTAAGTTTACTCAGAGACAGTATAGACTTTATTTTAGCTAAATCTAATGCTAACAGTTGTATGTAAGATGCCTATAAAATGTTTTCTTTTCTCTCAAAACTAACTATTTATCAGTAGATATTTGCTAATAAAAAGCTAAACGTTTTATACTTTTTAGAAAAAGTTCAGCTGATAGTTTAGCTTCATGAAGAAAGTCAGCTAATAGGCATGCTAGCTTAGTGTTTTTGTAGCTAACCATGGATGGAGAATTATCTCTTGCTTAGGTTGGCAGATGATTTCCATCTTTAATGGTGTTTTATGTTATGATGGCAATTAGGAAGGAAGAAATGAGCAGGTTAAACAACCTGTTCTCAGCTAATATTGATTATTGAACACAAGACTGTAATGTAAAATGAATGCATTCATTTGATTGTACTCATCTATTGTTTTGTAATAATACTTTTAAAAAGTTACATATCAGCATATAAACTTTGCAAAATAATCAAAGATTAAATGCATAAAAATGTGTAAGCAATTTTTATCCCACTAAGCTTTCATACATTTGTGATTAGCTTTGTCATAAATAACAGTTTTACAAAGAATATTAGAAAATAACACTCTGGTATCAAACTTTGCATTTAAATCATGTTGTAGCCTTAAATTAAATATCCATGTGAGATATACACACTTTCTGTTTTCAGTCGATTTCTAAGTAGATTGAAAATTTATTGAATGGCGTTGCTATCTTTTAAACTTGTAAGAAAAATTGAGGTGACAGGTCAAGGTTAAAAATAAGTGTAGCACAGGGACTGCTGGTCAGCTAAGTTATAATGCACTGTTTACAAATCCAAGTGGTAAAGCACATAAATTAACAACAACAAACCATTAAGTAAAAATGTCACATGTAAAAAATGTCACGTGTCAAATGGCTATAGCTGAATCTGTTTCTTTAAAGAAAGCCCGCCATCTAGTGGTCAGACTATTTCATTCGCCAAGGATGAATCATAGGGAAAAAGGCCATTTTCGTCTCATCTGTTATGAACACTAACTGCATCACAGCGAGTTAATGTCCAGGCAATATATGTCATTGGATATTGCAGCCGTGATGCAATGGTAATTATACATGATGGCAAGCTCTGAGGTTTGCTTCAATTTTTTACGGCCTCCAGGAAATGCTGCATCCCTTTGCCTGCTTCCATCCAGCAAACAGGCAGTGAGGTGGGGGAATTAAAGTGACACAGCTATATTATGTGAAAGTAAAGCAGAGCAGCTCACAAGGGTGAGATCTTTAAAGGGGGAGTAGCCTTTTTATAGATGAGACTCACAGAGGCTCAGAATCTCTTCAGACTTTCGTAATCCTGAACGAGACTGGAGGAAATTTTCAATGTGAACAACCCTGCCTTAATATTTTCCAATCCATTGGACACGGGTATAACTAAAGGCTTTGTATTCTTGCTTCTCTCCCTGTTTATTTGTGAGGCACAGATGGACAAGCAGCTGATGCAGGAGGCAGTTCCACGCACAGCACACTTAACCGAGGACCCAGAGGCATCTTGAAATAGAAATTCAAAAGAGGAGGAGGAGGAGAGAAAGGAAGGGGGTTTTTAAGGGAGAGCATTGGTATGCCAGGTTCAGTACATAGCATGGCTGTGCAGAAGAAACAGTGTGTCATCCCTCCATCGCAGGGACCTCTTTCTACACGTACCATCGAAAGCCAAAGAAAGAGAAACAGATATGAAAAAACAGAAGGTTAGTAGCCTTTTTCTGCGCTTTCTATGATTATCTTATCAAACCTGCCTTTTCATTGAATCAGAGATTGTAGATTAGAACCATAGGATCATTGCACCATATCGATTATTAGTTGATCGTATAGATTATGCATCTCTCTTAAGAAATCTTTGCACATGACTACCGTGAACTAAATAACAAGGCATCTGTTTGTACACATTACAAAATAAACTAACAACACCAGTACACGGTACAGCCCTAAAGAAACACCTTGTTTAAACTAATTACTCTTCAGTCTTGCGTGTGCCACTCTATCTTAACCTTTTACAGTGTTTAATTCAGCTGCACTCATGAGGACTGATCAGGTGCTAGCCTTTTATATGTAGGCAATTTATAAAGGCTCTTTCATGTGGAGCTGACCCTGGGGCCAAACAGTCCTGAACCACCACTGTTTGGGACAGCTTCTTAAAAGCTGATTTGATTTGAGTTTGTGTCCAAGGGCTACCTCAAACAATTTAGTTTTATAAACTTATGTCTGTTTACAGACGGAGACAATTCCAAGTATCTGTGTAATGAGTATGCGTTTTATTACAAAAAATAAAGCCTTGATGAAGGAATATTCTACAGAATAAGTTTTTTTTCCCCTCTCTGACAGAAAATGGCTCTTATCACAAACCGATTTCAGCGACAGTGAAGAAAGCAACCTGTTCTGTCAACATCTGCAACACAGTTACTCCTCGGGCTGCTGCAGGTTTTTGAGAGCACACTCACCCTGCTGTCACATTTTTAGGATGTCAGGCCATGTTTCTTTACTTCTGTAAGTAAAATTGCTATTATATCGTATCCTTGCATCCTAGCAGGTAATGGACAAAATGTTGACGAGAGGCTGAAAGCCGCACGAGAAAGAAGAGAAGAGCACCAGAAGCTACTTGGTATGTGGGCCCCTACATGATGGTAATATTCACATGTCCTTGCAAGTACACTACCTCAATTTCTAATAATATTTACATAAACAAAAATCCATGTTGTACTGCTTTGTTCATTCTTAGCCTCTCGGGAACTGAGCAGGTTAGAGCGGGAGCAGCGGGCTAGGCTTTACTATGAACAACAACTGCAGGAGCGCAAGAAGAAACTCCTGGAGCAGAGGCTCAAAGAGGAGAGGAGGCGTGCTGCTGTGGAAGAGAAGCGGAAGCAGAGGCTCAAAGAGGAGAGAGTGAGTTTTGATGGTGGATATCGAGTATTTTATTTCCAGCAATGCTGATGAGTTCACTGTTCAGGCTAAATTCAGTAAAATTAACTCAAAGGTGTTTCTGAATTAAGGAACGATATGAATCTGCAGTGCGTAGGACACTCGAGAAGAGCCAAAAGGCCCAGCAGAGCCTCAGTCAAAATGCAAGAGGAAGGAAACTCACTAAAAATGGTAAGCTAGGCGAATGTGCTTTCATTTCTCTCTCCTTTCTTTTTTTCTAACATAATCTTACTAAACTCATAACAACCTGCTTGCAGTATCTGTTGTCTCTGTACGATATCTTAACACAACAATTCTTGGCAGACCCTATCTTCTGTTTTTGCTGCATTTAAAACTTTACACTGATTAATACACTAGTTCCACATCGCTTGCCACTGACCACATGGGAGAAGAACCTGGTCAGTCGTCTCCTTACCCCCACATGCTCTTATCTGGCCAGGAGCAAGAGTGCTGGTTGTCAGTCAGGAGAACAAGGTACTCTCCCCCATAACAGAAGAATGTACTTATTTTAATTTAACATTAAGGAACTTCTGTTGCTACAACAACTAATATCTCAGGGCCCTCTGGTCTCTAACGCTGCTGTTTTTCTCTCTGCTGATACACTACTTCATATTTCCACCCTTTTCACTGTTCCCACCATTTGTGCATTGCTCTCCAATTTGCCATAATTATGGCGCAAAACACTGGCTCAGTTGTCCATGTTTGTCGCCGTGCAGTTTCATTCCACTCCATGAATACCACCACCACCACCACTCACAAACCCCGGCATCACTCTGGTTCAGTCCACAACAGGCCATCTGCTTCCTCTGGTTCTCGCAACAGCCAGCACAGAAGCATCAGTGTGGCACAGGTATAGCTAGCTGTTTCTTTTCATTAGAAATCTTTACGATCAGCCAGCTGTCTCTTTTTTCAGTCACAGTTTTGAATTGGAAATAACATTTTCTTTTGATCTAGATAAAAGCAGCAAAGCAGCAAAACATTGTTAAGAGGACCTCAAGTACTCGCTCTAACGTTCAATCAAATACCATCAGCGTCTGTGTAAAATCAGCTCTGATGCCGAGCAGAACATCCTCTCCATCATCAGAACGGTAGGTAAAGTGCCACAACTGTGCATCAGAGACAGAGCGGCAGTAATGTGAACAAAATGCTCCCTTTTAATTTTTCTTAAAGGACCTCACAAAGATCAGTCATCAAACAGCCAACCCTGCTCCAGCCTGAGCTCCCATCACTCCCTGAGGAAGATGCTGCTGCTTGCAACTCTGCCCTCTCTCCTGCTAACTCCAGGCCTGTCAGGAAATCAGTTGAATCTCAGCAAGAGAAACTGAGGGGTAAAAATCCACAGGAGACTCCAAGTTCAAACTTGCCTGACAAAGACAAAGTGACATCAAAGAGAACAGCAGGAGATGGAGGTAAGCTAGAAAAATGTATCTAGCACAAAGTGTGTCAATGTGTTTCTGGGATATTTATAGTGAAGTGTAAATTATTTCTCTTTAGGTCTCTCCAAAATGCCTCCTTGTCCAGCTCCACAGACTCCTGAAGTCATGTCCCGCCCCTCAGCTGGAACTACTGACCCAGAGGAAGCCTCACGTCTCCTGGCTGAAAAGAGGCGAGAGGCCCGACTACAGCGGGAGAAAGAGGAGCAGGAGCGCATACAGAGGGAGGAGGCTGAAAGGTAAAAAAGCACATCCAAGTATATGGTAACAATATTCATTAGCAAGCTTTTAAGAACATTAGAAATAACATCCAGGCAGAGCCGTGAAGAACTTGAGCGCAGGAGGGCAGAGGAGCGGGCACGACAGCAGGCTGAGGCTCAGCGTCTCATAGAGGAGAAGAGGAAAAGGGAGCAAGAAGAGCAGAGACGAGCTGAGGAAGAGAGAGCTCAGGCTATGAGGGAAGCTGCCCTCTTGCAGAAACAGGTGGGAAACAGAAAAGTTTGTTGTTATCATGCATTATATTCGTAGATAAATTTGGTTTTCTATTCACGTTCTTACTTAATGTTTTTTACCCGTCTGTGCAGAGAGAGGAGGAACTAGCCAAAGAGCAAGCACGAGCAGAGCAGTTGAAACAAGAGCGGGAAATGCTCGCACAGAAAGAGGAGGCAGAGCGCCAAGCAAGGAAAAAGGTGACAACTAGGATTTTAAAGTACGGCCGTCATTTCTGTATACAGCTCGGGCCACACATTAACTGAATTAATCAAAAAATAATAATACACCCCACTTAGCAAAAGAAGTTACAATGATAAAAATGGACACTGTGCAACTGAAAATATTTAAAAGACTTAAAAAACTGAGATTTTATTGTTTCCATTCATTGTTTGAACCTGATTCCTGCAACATGTTGAAAATGGCGCTGTTGTATAATGCTAACCCCCCCCCCAAAAAAAACGAAATACCAAAATCTGACAACTTATAAAGTTAAGAAGAAAAATCAATGAGTATAAAAAGAGCAAGAAACTTTGAGAAATAAAGCTGCACTGGGGTTCATCACTCTGTGTAAGACTGCATGGACAGAATATTTCAGCCATTTAAGAAGAACCTTTTTAATTCTAAATAATTTGGAGATTTCATCCACTGTGATCACTAATATCTTTCAGAGTTTTAGAGAGCCCAGAGACATTTCTGTACACAAGGGACGAGGCTGAAAATCGGTACCCTTGTTCCTTGGAACATCAGGAGACTCTGCAATAAAAGTTGCCTCATTTTAGCTTTTAGCCATTGCCACGGTTGTCAAAAAAATATATTACAGACAGTATTTTTAAAAGTGGATGTTTTACTATTTTACCTTTAACTTGTAAGCATTTTTAAATTTATTATGGAAACAGGGTGTGCCGAAAAATCTGTTTTATGAAAGACACTGAATGCATTCTCTGAGTGAAAGTATTTTAGTGAATGTTGTTTTCTTTTGCAGCGACTTGAGGAGATCATGCGGAGAACCAGAAGGACTGATTCTCCAGATACGGTGAGATTAAGTGTTTCGTTTTTTAAAAAGTCTACCGCCTCAGGTCTGTCATGACGCACATTCTGCATCAGCTATTAAACAATCTGTTTAACTTTTAAAAGCCACACAACTTGTCCTTGACTAAAATGATTAATGTCTTTTATCACAGAAATCTGTTCCAGTGAGGATTATGTCAAATGATGCCCAACCAAAGGAAAACACGCAGCCTGTGCACAATGGAACAATAGAAGATACAGCCAAGGTGCCAGTGGGAAATAAAACCACACAGCTGGGCCTGAACAGTCAGGAGGATATGCTACCTGTTGTGGCCTTCAAAGAACGCAGGTCTCTTAGAACTCTCACTGGCCTGGAGGAAATCCAGACCCACCAACGTGCAGGTGAGAAACAACCAGCATAGTATTTAAAAACACTTGTCCTCAGGGTGGGAAAGCGAAACAAACCATCAGCCTAATAATCAGCGAGTGTGTTTGTAGAATCACCCACCTTAAGTTACCAGTTACTCATTTACATGTTATAATTTGCCATATTAATTCCCAATTGGCTGTACTACCCACACAGGCAGGCTCACTCACTCGTGATTGATGATCCACAGTGATTTGTGCAGGCAGGCCCGCAGCAACCAACTCATAAAAACTCAGTTATAAATGGGGGAAAGTTATGCAAGCTTTGAAAAAAACGTATTCAGGTTGATGGTGAACAGTTCTATGCTCATAATGCTGCTTTCAAAATGTTATATTTGCTGTTTTTGATTTAATATCTATCATTCGTCGTCTTCCTTTGCGTTTTTTTTAGAGGTCATCTGAATGCCTGCAGGATGACTTTCAAAGCCTTTGTTGGAGACCGGTGAATACACAAGAATTACTGCTGCACAGCTATTTTGCTCCCCTTCGGCACTTTGAAAGAGCATGTAAAATTATAACCTTGCCTCCCAATGAGGATGTCAGCATTTGGTCACTTTTCTGTGTGTAACCAGTGGCACAAGCATAAAGCGAATCGCATATGAGCTTTTTCAGTACAGCAGTTTTCTGATCTAATAACTATCCAAAAAGCAGTAGATGTAGACTGTGCTGGCAAACGTAGTGTATCAGTTAAGGAGAGTGTTGCCTCTGTTGAAATATTAGGAACAGGAACTCTAAACAGTCACAATATGCCGTATGCTTTTTGCTTATTCCTGATATTTCTTGCCACCCTTGCACTTTTTCTTCCTCGGTTTTGTCACTGTGGAGTTAGAATAGCAAAAGTGGCAGTTTGCTCAGAGAATACAAGAGTTTAATGTCTTAGCAAAAGATGACTTCCTGCATTCCCACTGTACCTTAACCTTGGATTTTGTAAATTATAGCAATCATGTAATTCAAAGCTGCTAAGGAATATAGTTTCCAAAGACTGTGCTTCATTTTTCTTGTGTGTTTGTGTGTATTTGTGCCAATTTAGAGGATACAATGCACAGTGTATTTTATTTTTTTTTGCACTGACTGCTTTGTTTGATATTGCATAATCACTTTACAAGCAATGTCTGATGCATAGAGTTTAAGAGTTTATTAATATAAAAGCATAAAACAAAACCAGATGTATCTGAGCCGCAATATTTGATCTTATAGTTCAAGTACTGCTTATGACTATCACGTTAGCCTATTATATGCCATATTTGATTAAAGTTAATACTATGCCACGTCTTCGCCTTGTTTTTCCAGTTGAAAACATAACTGTAAAAATAAAAACTACCAAGCATTTTAAAACCCCAGGCTAAAAAAAAAAAAAAAAAAAAAACACACAAACACAAACACAAACACATTATATAAAAATGTAGCTTTTACATGCAACGTGGTTATGTTCATGCAAAGTCTGTGCGCGTCTCTTTGTAACTTCACTGAGAAAGTCCAGAGTTGACAGGAGATGGAGAAAGGGGCTGAATCATTTGAAGCAGCTGTCTAGTTTCCTCTGTCTGTGCATGCACCTTCAATAGCTGAACCTTTAGCTCACTGTTAGTCAACAGAGATGAAAAGTCTCCATCTGCAGAGGAAGACAGGAAGAAACTCTGAACTCTTACAATGACAGACTGTTTAAATTTTATGCAGTATTTTCAGTTCTTAAATAAATGTGCAATTAATGCAAACCTTTCTTGAGGTTAAATATGGTAACTACGCCAAGCTGCTGGAATTTAACATCTTTCTTTTTGAGGAATCCCAACAGGTACTTGGATATGGAAGTGTAATGTGGCTTCAACAAACGGATCATCTCTTCTGTAATGAAAACAGAAACATTTAATACATCCAGCGTAAAAACACAAAAGGAAGGTATTCTTTTCTCTTGCCACATTGCATTACCAGTCATTTCTAATTCGCTTATGATAGCTGCAGAGTTGTACGCCAGCTGGGACTTTCTGATTTGCTCTGACAGCTTCACTAAGCCTGAAACTTTTTCTGATGTTATGGTTGCTGACAATTTTGTCCGGAGTACATCTGAAACAGTGAGTAATGGTAATAGATTATTAAAAAGTTTTCCACCGCAAACATTCAAAATAAATAAGTCATTATTTCAAGTCAAGATCTCTCACCACAGGCCATCAGGTGATGCAAGCATGATGTCACATGAAGCAATGTCTCATCTGACAGGGTGTTAGACACAAGCGCACAGAGGAGTCCTGGTAAGCACAGACTTTCCATCACAGCCTAGATTACAATGGTTGGATTTAGGATAACTTTATCAGTCTTGGACAAATCAATAAAGCAGAGGTAGGAAAACAAAAAGAAAAAAAGAACTGTAGTCTGCAAGTACCTGCTCACCAACGTGGGAAGTGCACAGATTGGTGATTATCTTGCAGCTGTATGTGACTATAACAGAGTTTGATCTGGGATGATGAAGCACCTGACCAATTTCCTCCAATAGTCCTTCACTTACCAGGATGTCCTGGAATCAAATTACAAAACTACTGTCAATATTAGAATTTAAATAAAAACTGTGCAATTACTTTAGGTGACACTGAATGCCACTAAAGTAAAATTTCAATAAATATTGGCACAATGCAAAAATAAAACCATACTCAACCACTAAGCAGTTGTATAATAAAACCAGGACTGCTCCCAGCTTTATTGTTAATTATTTATTTAGGCTAACATACGGTGTTTGACGGGTGTGCCGACAGTGTAGACAGTAGCGTTAGTGCCGATTCAATCCACACTGAAGTAGAGGTTTTTAACAGCGCCTTCAGAGGCAACACGCAGTCAAGCTCCATCAGCTGGTCCTGAATGAGAACTACACATAAAAGTAATAAACACCATCTGCCAGAGGTATAATACCTTTTTTTGAATTTACTTTTTATAATTACCATTCTTTGAAAGAGTCTGCAGGCACCGGCACGCTTGGGCTGAATTCTGAAAAGGAAGTTGTTTTTTTTCCCCCTCTTTAAAAATATATTTTCTTTAAACTAAGTTAAAATAACTCATGTTCAGAGTTACCTTTTTCACAGGTGAAGACATAAGAGTCAACAGAGACCTTGATAAATAGTGACCCCCAATTCTGAGCAATCTTGGGTGATGCTCGTGGATAGCAGAAATGTTGCAAAGAGCAGTGCAGCTATAAAACTGAACCTCTGAATCTGAGGACTGTAGGAGAAGAAGCAAAACAGGAATCACTCCTGCTTGGCATAACAGCCTTGTTGACCAATCTGAAGAGTAAAAACATAAAATAAAAGGAAATGTAACACTGGAAGAAATTGAGAAGTTTCTGGAAAATACAGTTGTGCTTAAAAATTTACATACACTCGTCATCGGCATGGATGTCACGGGAATTTTGGCCTTTTAATTCTTTAAACTGTTCTTTTCCAGGGTGGAAAGACTGTACAGCATACATCTTTAATGATTTTAGGAAAAAAAAAACGAAAAAAAAAACAAACCAAAAAACACAAATTGGGTGCAGTTCTCTAATCCACACCAAGAAAAAAAAAAGTGTATAGATAAAGTCTCAAATATATAATTACACCCCCAATAAATCAAATTCAAATTTTATTTGTCACGTACACAGTCATACACAGTACGATATGCAGTGAAATGCTTAGGTCGGGTCCTGCTGCTTTCCTGGTAATGGGTAAACATCCTCCCTTACCAAGTTACACATCGACCAGATGGTTTTAGTAGCCATCAACAAGTTTCTAGGCCTAAGGCCACGGCAAATTAACTCCTTGTTAGTGATCATGATTGACTACAACTCAGTTTCTTTTTGCCTGCATAAGGAGCATTTGTTTGAGAGCATATGTTGGACTGACCAATACTCAGAACAATGGAAACTCCTGGGAACTCAGTGAAGAACAAACAATGAGAACTGTTACACAAGTTAAGGAAGGTCTCTTGGAGTCACTTCTAAACAACTGCGGGTTTATAGAGCATTACTTCAAACAACTGTACATAAGTACAAGTTATTAGGATTTGTCACCACTTTGCCCATCTCTGGAAAACAAAAAGACCTAAACTATCACCCTCAGATGAGAAGAAATTGGTTAGGATGATTATTCAGCAACCCAGGAACCACCAAGGCTCAAGCCTGCCTGAAAACCGCAGGAACGTCAGCATCACTGTTCATGTGAAGCAAGTTTTACATCAGTTGGGCTGAGGGGGTGCTGACCAAGAAAGAGAATACCACAAAGACAAGAGGTGTGCTTAGAGCAATAAAGGTGAGGCTATCAACTCAACTGTCAAGCATGGTGGTGGTATCACCATACTCTGGGGCTGTTTTGCTTCCAGTGGTACTGGTACATGGCACAAAGTGGGTGGAATAATAAAGAAGGGAGGACTACCTTCAAATTCACCTAAAATTAACAACTAGATGATTGAAACTTGGAGTCAGTTGGGTCTTCCAAAGGGACAATGATCTCAAAGACACACATCAAAACTGGTTTTTGGAAAGGATGAAGGAGGCTAAGATTAAGGTTGTGGAGTGGGTTTCCCAAACCTCAACCCGATTTAAAAACAAAAACGAACAAACAAACCCCACAAGAAATCAAACAAATAAATAAAAACTCAACTACCTCTCTTGGCAGAATTGGTAAAATATCCATCCAGAATTATTGCAGAAGCTTGTTGATGGTTACTAAAAATATCTGGTTGAGGTGCAACTTACTAAAGGGCATCTAACAAAACATTAGTACCTCCACTAATGTAAGGATGTGTGTATATCTGAGCCTGCATCTATACTTTTGACCCTGGGTCGATTAGACAAAACCCCAAATAAATTCAAAACTGTGCACAGACTCCTTGTTTTGTTTTTTTAAACTCAATAAACATGTATACTGCACAATCATTCCACCCTAGAAAAAGAACAGTTCAAAGTAATCCCTAAATTATAATGGCATTGATGCCAATGATGAGTGTATCTAAACTTCTAAACACAATTGTAAGTGCACAGTGACATTCAAATGAAATGGTCCCACCTGACTGCGTGAGGTGTAATAGAGCCCAAGTTGCATTCCGTTGGACCTTTGGATCAAAAGATTTTGCTAAAGCCAAGAGTGGTATGATTCCATCAACCATCAAAGAATCTCGATTTGACTCTGGAAAGAAAGATGAAATAGCAACCATGCATGCAGGGACAATTTTGGAGTGCTAGTGGCCCAAAACAAATTAGCAGAATTTCAGCATGACAGAGGAGAGGTCATTTCAAGAAGCATATGGAACAAAATAACTACTTTTCTCATAAGGCTTCAGTTCTCTTGCCATCCTCAAAGTCCTGCCATTTATTTTGCAATACATAATAACTTTTTAAAATTAAGCGTTTGTACTTTCTAAACTGTGTCGAAAAATACTTCTGGTCTGTACAAACCTGAGGAGGCCAACATGGCAACACAGGCACAGGAGTGACACTGAGCAGTGGGATCACCTGACCGGAACAACTCAATTATGGGCACCAGCATCCCCATTTCTATCACCAATTCTTTACACACTGAAATCAAATTTTATGAATGGCAAATGATAAATAAGCCATTTGATCCAAAAGAACACGAGTTTTTAGAATCATACTATCAAAATCATTAAAATTCTGGATTAATTAAAAAAAATTATAATAATGTAAATATCTTACTATTATTATCTCTTACCATTATTCTTTATTAACAGATTTACAAGGGCGAGAGAGACAGTCTTTTGAACATCGAGATCAGATGATAAAAGTAGAGCCACGATGGGCTCCATGAAGGCATCTGGTAATGGACAGTTCACTGTAACACACAAACAAGGGAAAAATAACACATTTTGAAACTTAAGTCATATTTTTTGCTGTCAGAATGAACAATGTTCGAGTTGAGACCAATTTATAGTAGTTGTATGTCAGTCAGTCTTACTGGGAGAAGCTACATTTTACAAATTTGAATTACATACTTGTAGCTGATTATGAATTCAAAAGATATATCCCTCATGAGTTGTGCTATAATCTCAAGAATCTAAACACAGCAATCTGTCAACTCGTTAGCTTCATAGCATAAGTGCCTAAGTCATTTTTTGGTCAAATTGAGATTTTTGCCTAACTTTACTCCCCTACCACTGCTGCATCATCCTGTCCGTCTGAAACACAAAACACAAAAAAATGACTTAGGCACTTATGCTATGAAGCTAACGAACTGCCACCTATACACAAAACACCTGGTCACCCATTTACATACTACAGAACACTGTCTATGCTGTACTGAAAGAAGAAGCCTCAGCCTAATATGCACGATAGGGCTCTTGGTTGGCAGATTATAATAAAGCATACTGTGAATTCCACAGTAAAATCCTCTTATTCTTCCTTCTTTGTAACACATGGGTCCATAAGTGGGCGTTTTATCTGCCAGCCTTGGGGAAAAAAAATACAGTTGGAAATTTGCATGCTGGTCACACCCGTTAGAGAAAATATCTCTGCAGTAACTGATAGAGGCCTATGAAGAAACCTGAAGTGCAAACAACAGCTGATCATCTGCAAGCCAATGCTATCAGGAATACTGTCAGATGAAACAAAAACGTGAAATCTTTATACTCACGATGATGACTGAGGTGTAGATAATACATGGCTGAAGTCATTTGTAGATCAGTGTTTTCTGAGGTTGCAAGTTTGTTCAGTGTTTGCAGACTTTCCTGGCTGAGAAGTTGAGTTTCGTTGTCTGGGAGGGGGAAAAGAGATTAATTGAATTGATCATATAAACTTGTGTACAACTTTGAAGAGTAATAGCACATGCAGTATGAAAGTTTAAAGAAGTTGCTGTCTAAACGTTTACTTTGATGCTTTTCAATTTTCCAAATAACACACTGCCTCGGTTTTTGTTCTTCTACTGCGATTTCCATAAAAAATACGCATGGCTGCAATTTTCCTACCACAGTTGAGGCGTAAGGAAGGCAAATCAAAAGCCGTCCTTCTCTCGGATGAAATCCTAAAGCAATTGCACCGTCCAATCTCTCTGAAAGCGTCCTTTATCTTGATCTCCAGCTCTCTCCAAGCGCTCCTCAAGTGATCCGCAAATTCCTTCAACAACTGCGAGCAGGTGTTGCAAAACCCTGAAGCCATGACTGCATCTTGCACAAGGTCCCGACACCTGTCTATTTTACACAACCTGCACGTAGACACGCCTACTGCTGTGTCACGTGACTGCAAGGTAAATTTAGACTATGGAAAGTATCTTGCTCTTCTAGCTTTTTTTTTTTTTTTGCATCTCGACACAACTTTAAAAGTAAAACTTATTGTGACACTTAATAAATATTAATATCTAAATATTTTAGGCGTTTCGTGGCTGTGCAAGTTTGTGGAATTGTGCAGCCTTCATATTAAGTTGGTCGTATTTTCGTTTGCGTTTCTTTTGTTCTAGGCTACAAATTTATTGTATTCTGTCTTTGTGTGCAAGCCTTTGTGACTGTGATGTAGAATTGTATGATATTCCATGTGAAGTGCGTAAAGTATATCAGCTTACAAAAAAAGTGTAACACGGGTAAAAATATTACATTACTTGAATAAATTAATAGGATACTTCTTTTGTGGCAATTGTATTAATGCAATAACTTATTTTTCTATTATTAACATTATGGACAGATAAACATCAGGCTTTTAGAGGTAGACATAACATAAGAAGAAAATGAAGTTAATCATAACAGAAAAAACATGAAAATGTATTTCTGTTATGAAATTCTGTCTTCAGCTTGATTGGTTGTTGTTTTTGTATGTACGTCAGATTACGTTTGACCGGCTCCGCCTCTCTTTTTCAGCTTTGTTGACTTGGAAACCGTCGAAGCGTTGTTGTTAAAGATGGAGGACAGGACAATCACTGCAGAGTAGATACATGCGCTGACCCTCGGCCAACTCTTCTGCTTCTTATACATACTTTTACGGACTGCTTCTGTGGGGCGAGGTTTGTTTTAATACTCAGGCTGTTCGTTGAAGCTCCTAAATATTATCTTACCAAATGTAGTAACCCTGTAAAGTCAGTGAGCTATCAGAAGCATTTAGCAAGCTAGCTGCTAAAGTGGCTAAGGTTAGTGGTTCACACAAACTGTACTTTTTCCTATACTCTGACTTCAGCAAATAAAAACACCATGGGAGACTTAATACGGGTTTATTTTACTAGAGTGCTAAACTATATAATTAAACGCTTGGCTAGCAAAACCTAGCTAACCCAGTAGAGGTTTTGTTGTGCAACTTTAACGTCGTTGTCATGCATTTCTTTTAGAATGAGAGTCTTAAGTCCTGGATTATTCTCATTTTGCGCTCGGAAAGAGAAACATCACGCTGTCTGAGAATGCCAGCAGGTACGTTTCCTGCTGTTCCCTCCTCACTCCAATGGTGGAAGGTTCTTTAAATTAAAGTAGCAATGTCGTTTTGTATCGGCTGCTCCCATTTGGGGTCGCCACAGTACATCATCTGCCTGCATCTCTCCTTATCCCTCTGCATTTCCTCCTTCACTACATTCCCGGATCTTTTCTGTAGTCTTTCTCTTTTCCTCCTGTTTGGTAGCTTTATGTTTAACATATTTCCAATCTATCCGCTGTCCCCTCCTCTGGACATGCCCAAACCCCCTCGGTCTTGTTTCGTTAACTTCGGTAGCGTTTCCAAACTCTTAAACTTGAGCTGTCCCTATGATGTACTCATTTTTAATCCTGTCCATTCTGGTCACTCCCTTAACATTGTTAACATTTTCAACTCCATCACCAGCTCCAGCCCAGATTCCTGTCTTTTTCTTGGTGCCACCATCTCCAAACCATACATCATATTAGGTCTCACTAAAATGTTGCAAAATGTTGTTGGTGTCCTTCTTTCCTCTCATATTTATCTCCACCCACTCCACCATGCCTGCACTCTCTTCTTCACCTCACTTGCCCCCTGTCTGTTGCATTGCTACTCTTACTTCTCTTACTTGGTGTGATGCAGTAGCGTAAAAATGCAGTTACAAGTTTTGCAAAAAGATTTGATCAATCTACAGAAGTGTTATCAACAACGTGTAGTTAATCTTATTTATGTTATAAAGTCTAATCTGCATTGTCACGTAATCTATTTAAAATGTTCCCTTTTATAGGTGAGAGTGAAGACCGGGCAAAAACCCGAGAAAGATTTAATGAAGTCTTCAAGAAGTACACAGAATCTGAGAAGAAAAAGAAAAGCACTGAAACTCCGGAGACTATTGTGGTATGTCATTCTTGTGTTCTATTGATAATTTTACATCAGATGCTCTATATGTTGGCAAAAACATATAGAACTTGCAGGACATGTCTTAAAACTATTTCTGAATAGTTCCGAATCCTTGTGGATTCTGCATTTTATGTAAACAAGGCTGTCATGATGCCCTTCTTCCAAAACAGACAACATCTCGGACATATTTTAATTGCGGAAGTTTTAATAAATAACAAAATAAAAAGACTGTAAGTACTGACACCTCTTTATCTTTTCCTCTTTAGCTTCAGAATCTAAAAAAAAATCTCAACCTTGAGAAGGACACAGAAGACAATGAGACCATCCTCCAGAACACATATGACCCAGAAGAGGGCAGCCCTCGCTACACAAAGAATAAAAGAAGGGAGAGAGAAATTTCAGAGAAGGTTAATTTTAACAACAATAGAAACCAAGAGGGGATTAAAACATCAAAATCTAAAAGAAAAAGTAAGAGGGACCTTCCCTCTCCTCCTATGCCCGAGGACATCGGAAGTCACATCCAAGAGGATGCAAATGCATCAAAGTCTGAAATTCCATTGGATCCAAATGATTCTGTAGGTGGAAAGGCCCCAAAGCAGAAAAATAAAAAGGGAAAAAGCAAAGGTGATACAGAGGTTAAAGAAGCAAGCCAGGAGGAGGACACAGAAGATAACCTATTGCATGAATACCAGCAAAAGATAGTAAAGGAGGACCAGAGGACTTCAAGGAGGACAAGGGTCAAAGGAGAAGATGAGAGTGCTGTCTCACAAAGTGTTACGCTTAGTAATGATGTGGGGAAGAAGAAAAAGAAAAAGATGAAATCTGTAGTCACAGATTCAGATGCAGGGTGTGTATAACTATTAGTGTACTATGGAGTTATATTTAGTGATGAAGCAACAGTGTTTGATTTCTTTCTACTTCTTTTTTTGCCTCCAGGGATCAAGATGAAGATACAGACCTGGATGCTGATGTGGAAAATGAAACAGAATCCAAGGGAAAGAAGAAAAAGAGGAAGAAAAAACATGGTGATTGCACGATAATTCTCAGGATTCACCAAGTTCCAGTTAAAGGTGAAGAAAGGTGTTGATGGTGATGCATTTCATATTTTGTTTTCTCCCCTTGTAGTTGTCAAAGACCAGAGTGAAGCGGAGTCAGAAGCACCTCAGAAACCAGTTTTTGATGACAACCTTGTTCTTGGAGTGTACATTCACAGAACAGACCGCCTCAAGACCGACTTGATGATTTCACACCCCATGGTGAAGATCCACGTTGTTGATGAAGCCACAGGGCAATATGTGAAGAAAGAAGACTGGTGAGACATTTCTGCTATTAAGTTTAGTGGTGTGTTTCAATTTCTGGGCACATTTTTTATTTAGAAATTTTTACCTTAAAATAATTGGACCATGATTATTTGTTTTTCAGTTAAATTTAGGCACGATCTATAGATATTTGTATTTATAAGCCATTTAACTGTGCCAAAACCTTTGAATTATAACACATTTTGCCTTCAGTTCAAATTTGTTTTTCTTTTTTGTAGTCATCGCCCCGTATCCTCATTTTATGAGCAGGAAAACGTTGACCATGTTCTCCCCATCATGACCCAGCCTTATGACTTCAAGAAGAACAAATCAGTCGTCCCTGAGTGGCAGGAACAGATCATCTTCAATGAACGTTTTGGCTACTTTGTTCAACAACATGACGAAGGCCCCAAAGTCATACTGTTCTTTGAAGTAAGAGTTATTTCAATAACAGTTAATAAACCATATTTTAACATGTGTGACAGTAATTTCCTTTATTGAAATGTTTTGCAAAGATCCTTGATTTTGTGACTATGGAAGAAGCAAGAGCCAACATTGATGTTGACAAGCATGATCGAGGTTTCCGAAAGATTGCCTGGGCATTTCTGAAGGTAATGTGTTTAGTCTGATCATTTAGAAAGAAAAGATCAGTCTGGTTGTATTTTAATCTCCCCTGTTAATATGTATGCCCCTCCATTTTTCAGCTTGTTGGCACAAATGGTGTCTTGAATATTGACAGTAAACTTCGTCTCCAGCTCTTTTGCCCTCCACATCGGGCAAAGAGCCAACCTAAAACAGTTGAGGTGGTTGAATGGTGGAGAAAGTACCCAAGAACCAAATATGCATCTACCCTCTATGTTACAGTAAAAGGCATTAAACTCCCTGAGCATGTAAGTTAGCTGCTACTGCCTAGTTGTTGGAAGGTTCATATGTACATGGATGGATTCAGGAGTATGTTGTAGCTGAACTGGTTATGTTCTTCAGGTGGACCCTAGTATTCGGTCTATGATGGCACTGCAGGAGGAGAGAGGCAGCACCTCCTATAGTGAACTGCAGAATGAGATCACCAAGAGAAGTCTGACACAACCTCTAGACAGCAAACCTCCAACCTTGAGATGGAGCAGGCTGCCTGGTCAGGTTTGTAGAAGGGTTTAAACTGCTCCTATCAATATTACATACAAATATACATGTTCATATTTTTAGCCTGAACACAGGTAAGTAGCAAAGAGTGGCAGTCAAACAACTAAAGAGAGTTTTACTGTTGCAGATCTGTCGAATTCCTAACAAGCCAATGCTGGCATTTCGTGGTGGTCAGATGGGCTGTTTCACAGTACTCTTTTCTCACGCTGGAACCATACTGGCTGCTGCTTGTGCTGACAAAGATGCGTTCCCTGTTGTAGGTAGGTCACATCTCATCGGTGTAAAAGTCCCCCTTCTAATGCATTGTTGACTCCAACCAAGTAATTTCTTTGCTGTTTGTATGCCATGAACACCTCTTTGATGACATCTGGATTCTTCCTTGTCTGTGCATATATATATTTTAAAAATCAGGTAAAAAATAAATAAATAAAATAAAATGCTGTTTTTATTTCAGTGTATGAGATTCCCTCTGGCAAGGTTTTGGCTGCCTTCAATGGTCACCTC